CTCAAATTCATTAAATTCGAACTTAGGTCAGTCTAAATTACGTCACGGGGGGGGGCGGAATTTCATGATTTGTGCAATTTTCTTTCAAACTCCAATCTTAATTTTTAAGATAAAAATCCGGTTTAAACCAGAGGAAAATTTTCGCGCATTTTCTAATTTTAACCCGTTTTTAAACCGGTTTGTTGAAATAAAATTGTTGACAAGAATTTTTAACAATTGAACAAACTCAGTGTTGCATAAAAAATAGAATAGTTTTCGCTTCAATAAATACATAGTATATAAATATACACAAGGGAACAAAATATCAATGGGAAAAAAACCATTAATATATTTACAAAGATCATGGGATCTCCATTTGTTATCCCGTGGTGGGCATACCCTGTAGGGATAACAAGCATTTATCCTCATTTTAAAAGTGCCCACATTGGATGGCGTGATTGAGTGTTCAAAATTAAGGCATGGGACGTAGGTTTGCGGAGGAGGGGATAGATAAAACTCCAATTATTGAGGGTTAGGTTAGGTTAAGACAATTTCTGGGCCGAGCGCTGCGACTAGGATAGGCTNCCTTCAAGGTTAGACTTAGTTTAATCCTTATAGTCAGAAAGCAATTGAGATTTGCCTCATACTCAAATTTTTTAATCCCTAAATCTTTGCAACCTGATGGAGTAAATCTTTAATATTTCAAACTAAAATTTTTTACCTACATAATTCTTAGTTTGAAATATCAAGGTCTACCACATTGGTCGCAAAGATATAGTAATAAAAACAGAGTTTGTGGCAAAGACTCAATTTTTAATTTTATACAAGTTATTCTATAAATTATGCAAACGGTCGTATCAATATCATCATAGTTCTAAGAGTACATTTTTAAAATTTAATATTGATTTAATTCTAATTAATGCCAACTTGTCTTAACGTTTTTGATTAAGACGTTTGAATTGAAAGATTTGTTTTTAAATTGTTGTCTACGGGATTGTGAAAGAAAGGATTTTTTCATTTTCTCATTTTTACACTTTTCCAAAATGTTTTGCATGTATAATGGAAAATCTAATGGATGCAATCAATAAATCAATAATTTATGGATAAAGTGAATATAGAACGAATTAAATGGATAATGAAATTAAATATCAAATTAATATGATATATGAAGAATTGATTGAAATGATTTAGAAATGAATAGGTGATGGATTTAATGAATGAATGAATAGATGAATGAATAAAGGTGTGCAACTACGTAATGCTTGATTAAGTAAACTTCAAGGACAACCAGAATTAGAACTTATCATTAATTCATTAATTCATCCATCCCTTCCCTTCTTACAGATTAATTCATAAAATTCCAGATATTAACGTCAATAACGTGTATCTATCCATCTAGGTGAGTGACGTCAAGTGGTTGTCCATCTGGTGCAGGAAATTTTCCGTGGATTTTGGAAACACTATGTTCCCTGAGGACCTCGTGGTAAGCAGCCATTTTTATCAACTGATTAATTATGAAAATTGCGACTTTTTAGTTATTTATAGAACTTTGTTTCCTATGTTTTCTTCTGTTTCTTTTATTTTCTAAGTTTAATTTTAAACTTCCATTGACAGGTGTGCTGGTTATGAAATACCGCAAGATATTACAAATATTCTTTTGTGTACTCCGAATATTTTGTGGTGTATTGTTTCCAATTTTGCGCCATATTAGGCATATTGTGTAAAAATACGCAATTTTGGTCATTTGGTTTGGTTCGGTCCAAGTAATTCTAATGAAATGAAATTTTCTATGTAAAAACAATTTGAAGGTTGAATTATTTCGTTTAAGAATCAAGTTGTTCCAAACAAAACTAGATTTATATTCCATTGAGAGGGCGTGTGGAGAGGTGTGGTAGTTGTATTAAACAAGAAAATTCCGATCTGAATTAGATCCGTCCATTCTTCCATAAACTTGAAATCCTGGTCTTTGTTAATCAGATTCAACGGATCGAATATCAATATCATACCTGAAACTATTTCCTGTCCAGAATCTGTAGAAACGGAATAATTTATAAAAATCTAATTTTTGCATTTTTCTAGTTTGATGACGAAGATGATGTCCCAAGTCCCCTTGCTCCTGAGGATGATGAACACAGCCAGGATTGGAACCATGTTGACAACCATGTTGATCCTCAGGCTGAACCTGAGCCTGACTCTGAGCCCGAGCCCTACAGCGCTAGCTCCGTCCTTAGCCTTGCTCTCCCAACCCTCTTGGTTGCCCTCCTAGCCAAGCTCATGTAAACCATCCAAACTCCACTTTTTATCAAAAATAGATTTTTCAATTTTTTAGCAAAATATGATTCGAATAACTCCCATTATCCACCTGAACATCCTCTGTATGTAGTTAATGTACATATATAAATATTGTACTTTTGTATTAATATATATTCGGACAGTTAATTTTAGAAAATATGTTTTTACGTATATTTCTTTTAAATCGATAACGTGTGCAAACGGAAAACTTTTTTGGAAAATTTCTAGAGATGTCCGTGTTTTGAGCTGATTTATTAAATAAAGTTAACAACATGGCGGATTTTGGTTGATCAGCTGACATTCAGCTGATTTGATGAAAATCCACGGAAAATGTTTCAAAAACTATTTCGCGCATTATCTGACCGGTGATTAAATATCAATCTACGCCGATACAGTCTTTAATTTACTTTTTATTATAATTATTGGTTAAATATATATTAATAANCATTAATATTTTTATTAACTAACTGAATTGTCCGGCTTTGCCCCATGTTACTCGTAGTAACTCCCATCGTTACCCCGTGCTTGATCTTGAACCATGATTTTAGCAGTGCCCGATTTTAGCCAACATATTAATGAGCGAAGAGCTTTATTATATAGATGATATATATATCTATGGATATGTGAAAAAATGCTAACTATTGTTGTTGAGCTAAAAAAGGGGGGTGATCTCGAAATGCGCGGTGAGAACTACTACAGTAATCTTTTAGGGACCGAACCAAGAGGGTATTGCCCAAACCAATAGTCCCGGTTAACTAGAACTCTCGAACATTCATAACATTCATAACATTCACAGAATACCCTTCTTATCCTCTATTTTATCCGAAATCGATAATAAATGGTATTCAATCTATCTCGATCCTAAAAAAATACATTTAATCAACAAAGGTTTACAGAGTATAAATGTAATGTTTTATTATAATGAAAATGGATAAAAGATTTAAAGATTAGTGGGTAAAAGTTTAAAGTCCGGTTATTGAACAGTACTACAAAACAACGTAGGTAATGTTTGGTTTGGTCGCCGGAGAAAATCTTGGTCAAAGACGACTTTACAACGGAGTAAGCTCATTGTTTACTTTGTTCTTGCCAAGACAATCTGAAGCTTTCAGCAAGTAATCTCTCTGCCCCCCAGACTCTCCAGACTAACCCAGGAAAGCACTTTCAATCATATCGTCGTGTTCGAAGGATTGGAAATGATTGACCAAAGACAGTTTGGCAAATCAAAAACTCTGATTTAATTAAAATTACAAGTACTGCAGAACATTCCGAAAGCTTAGTTGAGGATGAAGCAGAAAGTAATAAATATATTTGATTTTAAGTAAGAACTTGGGCTCAAAGTAGACAGCAACTCCAACTAAGAAGTTAATGAGCTGGGAGAGGGGGGGGATGAGTGCGTAATCCCCAACAGGGACCCAATCCCATTCCCTGGGAAAGTACCTGCACCTGCAGCCTTCTCGACGAATCATACACCTTACACCCTCAATCCTTTCCCAGCATTGGATCTCCGATTATAATTTATGAACCCTTTGGACCCATTTGCCTCAAATTTTGATTGGGAAACTTGGGAGAACCACGGGAATTTTCTTAGATTATAAATTGAGTGGTCCACTTTAGAAAAATATGTAAAATCGTTATTTACAACCAAGCGCAAGTAAAAAGCGAGAGTAACTTTAAGTATACTACCCAGAGCAACCCCGGGTTCTGAAGCTAGTCAGCCCTAAACCCCCCAAACCAGTTTGTTTCTGAGAAGAAATGTTTTGAAATGTTTTTTTGTTAAATATTTGGAAATAGTCCAAATATTCTGATCAATTAGTTTTTATCTAACAACCTTTAGTTTCTTTAACAACTACATCAGGGCATTCAGGGACATAATCTGAACTGATTCTCCATGCCTGATAAACATAGAACATAGTAGAATTCTGTAAATTTCATTCATTGTCTCTGCTGCATGCATAAATCCACAACACTTCTAAACTAGTAAATTTTAGAAAGAAAAACAAGGATATCTTCATCCTTTTTGCTCAACCACAGGGAATTAAAGGGTACAGCTAGGAATCGGACATACCCCTTAAAGGTGAAATGGTTTTTTCAAAAAGCAAAATAGTATTTTTCTTGAAATTCTAAAAGACATGTTTACGAAAGGTATTTTTTAACCCCCTAATCAATTTACAGAATGAAATCTTTTTTGAAAATTTACCGAGTAGGGGCAAAAAAACATTTTTTAGGCAGTTAGTTAAGTTTGTAAAGGATAAAAACTTTCTTCCCCATAACTTCATCAATTTTCAACATTTTTCATCTCTGTAAATTGATTTGAGCTCAGGTTTTCAAGACGATTTTATTGATATCCATAAAAACCAAATTTTCCAAATATTGATGTCAATTAGTGTTTATCTGGAAATTGTATGAATTATTAACATGAATATTCGGATAAGATTTGGCACCAACATCCTTAAAGGGACTACGTAGACGTAATTTCAAGTATCCTTCCATTTATCTAGTGGCATGTTCGAGTCACAACGGTTTAAGGCTAACGTTCTTGTTCTGGTTTAAAATGTGCCTTTGTGAATGGGGCATACCCCTTTGTTGAAGATCAATTTAACATTTTTATTCTCATTTAACTTATATATATATATTATATATATGTGTGTGTATATCATAAATAACTTTTTTTCTTTGTTGACAAGGGGGCCGCGCACAATATTTACTATATTTGCAAATACAGAAATGTTAATTTTTTTCTTAATTTGAATATTCAATCAATTAAGCGAAAGAATTAAAAAACAATTTACTTTGTTATAATTAGACAAACTTTAGAATCATTTTCTTTCTGTTGTGCTTAAAGGGATTGTGGACGTAATTAAGGGGATCGTGGACGTTATTAAAGATATTGTGGACGTAATTAAATGGATTGAGGGCGGAATTAAAGGGATTGTGGACGTAATTAAAAGGGATTGTGGACGTAATTAAAAGGATTGTGGACGTAATTAAAAGGATTTTGGACGTAATAAAAGGGATTGTGGACGTTATTAAAGATATTGTGTACGTAATTAAATGGATTGAGGGCGGAATTAAAGGAATTGTGGACGTAATTAACGGGATTGTGGACGTAATTAAAGGAATTGTGGACGTAATTAAAGGGATTGTGGAAGTAATTAAAGGGATTGTGGACGTAATAATAGGGATTGTGGACGTAATTAAGGGATTCTGGACGTAATTAAAGGGATTGTGGACGTAATTAAAGGGATTTTGGACGTAATTAAAGGGATTGTGGACGTAATTAAAGGGATTTTGGACGTAATTAAAGGGATTGTGGACGTTATTAAAAGGATTGTGGAGGTAATTAAAGGGATTGTGGACGTAATTAAGGGATTGTGGACGTAATTAAAGGGATTGTGGATGTAATTAAAGGGATTGTGGACGTAATTAAAGGGATTGTGGACGTAATTAAAGGGCTTGTGGACGTAATTAAAGGAATTGTGGACGTAATTAAAGGGCTTGTGGACGTAATTAAAGGAATTGTGGACGTTATTAAAGGAATTGTGGACGTAATTAAAGGAATTGTGGACGTTATTAAAGGAATTGTGGACGTTATTAAAGGAATTGTGGACGTTATTAAAGGAATTGTGGACGTTATTAAAGGAGTTGTGGACGTAATTAAAGGGATTGTGGACGTTATTAAAGGAATTGTGGACGTAATTAAAGGGATTGTGGACGTAATTAAAGGGATTGTGGACGTAATTAAAGGAATTGTGGACGTTATTAAAGGAATTGTGGAAGTAATTAAAGGAATTGTGGACGTTATTAAAGGAATTGTGGACGTTATTAAAGGAATTGTGGACATTATTAAAGGAATTGTGGACGTTATTAAAGGAATTGTAGACGTAATTAAGGGATTTGTGGACGGAATTAAAGGAATTGTGGACGTTATTAAAGGAATTGCAGTGGACATTATTAAAGGAATTGTGGATATTATTAAAGGAATTGTGGACGTAATTAAAGGGATTTGTGGACGTAATTAAAGGGATTGTGGACGGAATTAAAGGGATTGTGGACGGAATTAAAGGGATTGTGGACGGAATGTCAAGTAACCCTTTATTTACAGACTCCGATTCACAACGATGTTTTAAACCTATATCTGAGAAACAATGAGAAAGTGTTAAACTTTGTTAAACTTCTTTCCCCTCTATCAAGTGATTTTGAGCTTTATACCAGCCGTAAATTTGTGAATTATCAAAATATATGACTAAAAATGTTTGCTAATTTTGAAAAATTTTTGAAAATAAAACATTTTTGGAGACAGTATATATAACATACACGAACAATAAAGTCCTAATTAATGTTGGATCTTAAAAGGTTTTTTTTTTCATTTCATAGATTTTAAATTTAATCTGAGTTATTNATTTTACTATCTATTTTTCCTCTAGCATAAAAAAGCACTTATTTAATCTGAAAATAACAAAAAAACAGAATAAATTTTTAAATATTGGGGTCTTCAGATTAATTTGTTGAACCTTCTAAAAACTAATGAAAACTAAGCTATTGTTTTTCATTATACTTGTGAAAGGATAAATCTATAAAGTTATTCACAAAGGATAAGACTTCAGAGACATTTCTTCTAATTGTCGTCTTCACAATTAAAATACAGAAAACCTCTATCAAGCGAACCTCGGCCCATAACTGAAAAAATTGGCATAAACATGCGAGATTTTAAAATGAATTTTGATAACTTATTTTCCATGCTACAAGTTTATTATTTTTCTCCATCTGTTAATATACATGTGCTGACTTTAAAAGTCACTATATTAAAATAAAGAGATCTAAAATGGATATTTCTAACATTTATTTAAAACGAAAGTGTTTTGAAATATTTTCATTTAAGGCGGAGTTAAAATTGGTTGATTTAGAAATTAACAAAGGAATTCATGATGAATGTTGGTGGCAACAGGGCTCATCAATGGAACTAAGGCAATGCAACTAGAGATAGCGGAAACTTAAGTCAGAGCCGTGCACAAGTTTCCTAAGTAAGCTTCTCAAGAAATTAATAAGGAGATCAGAGGTATAAGCACGCCTGCTGTTAGCTCAGTATCTGCATCATCAGCATGAAGGAGTCAAAAGGCTCCCTGTGTCGGAGCTGTTACCAGCCCAACTCTCCTAACCTGACTGAGGGCTGGGGTGTGTAGAGGGTGAGGCGGGATACAAAGGAGCGAGGTTTACATGTGTGTGCTTCATGGAGGAAATGGATTGTGTGTACACACACATCTTGAAACAGTTGACGGCAATTGAGCCGGTAAAATCGTCTTCCTTATATTTCGAATTTGTGTTAACAACATGCAACTAGTGTTTAGAATAGTTACATGTTTTGTTCATGATATTTAAGAATTGTAAAAAATGTTTTTTTTTCTGCTGCATGCTGACTGAAACAACTAGACTGGTGAAATTTATTCATACAATACAGCATTTTCAGCTCAACTACCATGACTAGTCGGTTTCTCCTTTTAAAAGGTTTTTCTGATTTTAAGTATTAAATAAATATTAATCTAAATTAATTTGAAAACTGATTATTGTAAATTTTGATATTAAAAGTGACTGACTTGCGCATTTCCACTGCAGATATTTGATCAAATAAAGATAGCTATGGTACCGTTGTGAATAAAGATAGCTATGGTACCGTTGTGAATAAAGATAGCTATGGTACCGTTGTGAATAAAGAATTCTATGGTACCGTTGTGAATAAAGATAGCTATGGTACCGTTGTGAATCGGGTTAACAATGAAAAGGTGTTAAAGCTGTAACCTTTGAACAGGACTTGGAGCAATGGATGATAAAAATAACCGAAGAAAATAAAAATTTGATTTTAAGATGAACATTTTAAATGAAATAGAGAATTTGGATTCAAAGGTGGTTAAATATGGAGTGAAAAACAGAATAGATTTTTTATTAAGCAGAGTCGGTATTATTCTTTATAAAAAATTTAGAACACCATCTCTACCAGGATTTTGATTTAGAAATTAAAAAAGAATTAAATGGAAATTGTTTTTTTTTAACTTAACTAATACAAGTGTTCCAAGGGAAATACAAGAAATACTGAATCTAGGTAAAAAAAAATGTTCCGTTTTTCAAGTTAAACAAAACAAAAGAAAAAACTCAATTCAATTTGGAGGTTTCATCGTTGATTACTCGTGTTCTTCAAAACGAACTGAAATATAAAATCCCAATTCATCACAAAAACATCAAATCTCAACTTATACAGTTACAAAAGTGTATCTTTGTTAAAAGAAACCCAGCTTTAAAAAATATGGTAAAGATCTTTTAAAAATACCTATTTTTTTTATTTTTAATTTTACCTAGGATTGCTTCCCAGCAAGGGGTTCTGAGAGTATTCTAAGAATTTATGAAATAAAAATTTTCAGTGAGAATCTAATAAAAAACGTAAAACGATTTTTAAGGTTTAGTTATGATGTTTCGGTACATTTAACAGTGTTCTGAGATTATTCTAAGAATTTATGAAATAAAAATTTTCAGAGAGAATCTAATAAAAAACGTNTCATTCCAGTATATCAGACTGCTCATTAACTGTATAATGAATCATTCATATTTTAAAGAGCCAAATGGCATTTTTAAAACTCTAAAGGGATTTTCCATGGGGGATTGCTCCGCAGCAAGAGGTTCTGAAATTATTCTAAGAATTTATGAAATTAAAATGTTCAGTGTTTTAGCACGGAACAATTTAATAAAAACAGTAAAACGCTTTTTAAGGTTTAGAGATGATGTTTCAATACACTTAACAGGGTCAGATGACGAAATTAAAAAAGCTGTTAAAATTATTGGTTCTGGATACCCCCCCTCTCTTAAATTCAATATGGAGTCCAAAATTATTTTTGGGAAATTTTTGAGTATTCGAATATATAATGACCCACATTCATCCATTTCTTTCACAACAGTCCTACGAAAAGAAAACGAAAGAAAGAAAGAAGCTTAAAAAAAATGAAACAAAAATATCCGAACCAAAGAAAAAATTTCTTTCTAAAACAGTGTATGACGAAGTATCACAGAGCCACAAATTTGTGCACAAATTTTTCAAAAAACTAGACATCGACAAAGAGAAATACTATGCTCCAATGAAGATACCTGGTACAAAACTGGAGCAAACGATCTTCAAAATTAAAAAAAAGGCGAAGAAATTAGGATTCTAATTTTCACACCCAAAAATCAGCTCTATCAAGGTATTCTTTATTGAAAAGAATTATAAATATTAATGTTATTTTAATTCAAACTTTAATTTTTATTTTTGATACACATGAGGATTTCATGAGGAAAGGACGAGGATTTCGATGTGGTTCGGACGAGAAAATTATGAGAATGTGGTTCGGACTAGAGATTGATGTGGTTGGCCTTCCTCCCCTCCTCAGAGAATCTTTAAAGGTATAATGTTTAAAAATGTTTTATGTTTTTTTGATCAGATCTAAATATTTAACCAAATGACTTTTGTTCATGAAACTCTATGCACACCTTCTCAAAGTCAATTCTATCATGCATGGTGCGACGGAGCGCCCATTTAATTACCTATTAAGATAGAAAATCATTTGAATAATGTTTATTTAATAATTCAAAATGCAAACATCAAAGTATTAGCTTTTCTCCAAATTATTAGCTCCATCTTCATTAGCACTTCTGAATCCAAATGGTCTACCATATCCGTTGTTAAAGCCATTGTATCCATATCCGTTGTTATATCCATTGTATCCATATCCGTTGTTATATCCATTGTATCCATATCCGTTGTTATATCCATTGTATCCATATCCGTTGTTATATCCATTGTATCCAAAGTTGTTGTTGTATCCGCCATATCCGTTGTTGTAACCGCCAAATCCATTGTTGTATCCTCCAAATCCGTTGTAATACCCGCTGTTAAAACCACCGTAAGGGCGGTTGGGTCGGAAATGCTTGGAATCCACAGTAATATCTTCCGCCTCCTGCCGCCGAACCAGGTGATGAAGATACCCGTCCTCTTCTGGCCTGAGTAGCCCAGCATAGCTGATACACAACATAGAGAGAAGAACTCCCAAACCCAGATATAGTTTACCCATGTTCATCTTAACTCTGTACAAATATACTTGAGAATATGATAATATTTCCATCCTTTCCCAGTTTATATATCGTCAGGAGTTTTACAGACATGGGGATTCCAACCAATTTGGNGTTACACAACATAGAGAGAAGAACTCCCAAACCGAGATATAGTTTACCCATGTTCATCGTAGCTCTCTGTAGAGATATACTTGAGAATATGATAATATTTCCATCCTTTCCCAGTTTATATATCGTCAAGAGTTTTACAGACATGGGGATTCCAGCTAATTTGGTTTCCCGCATTATTTTCCAACAGTTTCCTGCGTAAATTTCGGGTTCAGAAGAAAATAACTATTTTTCGTATTGATACCATGGATAGATTTTCAGTGTCATTTGTCATTTTAAAATTTAAAAACTAAAATTGTTGAAAATACGAAATTTACATTTTTTTCTGGATGAGATTAACCACTGGCCTGGTTTCCCTGCGTGCACAAAGGCTCAGATGGTTTGGTGCATTTACAGGGGGGAGGGGGAGGGGGGTCCGAGGTAAAAGGAGGGATTTCATCGGGATTAGAATTTCCAGGGGAAAACTGAAACCTTACTCATCTTCTTAATCAGATATTTCAATAAAAGTTGAATCATATTGAAATAGAAAGCATGATTATAGGATGTTAACTGTTTATATTTTACACTAAGAATAAGATCTAGACAACTCTGGAACTTAGTCATCAAAATGTTTATAGACAGCCTCGGATTGAAAGTGTCACAACGCTTTTGCATTTAGTTTTACTTCTCCAAATCACAATTACTTTTTTGAAGCCGTAGACATAAAATTTGAAAAATTTTATTACACTTTCTTTTAGCTTAGGTTTAAAAGTTACTGGTTGAATTTTGTGTGAGAGAACGTGCAAAATCTTGGTGAAATAGAAGCAGAAATAGACATTTTCATTTCGAATTAACATAAGAAATATCGCATATGAACATGCAGATGTTTTTGTTTTCTTTCAAAACGGTTTTATGTATATATTTACATGCAAGTTTATATTGCATTTTATAATTTCTTTTTAAAAAACTAATATTTGACCAGAAGAACGGAAACAAGAAATGAATAGAAATAAATAGGAATAAAAAGAAATAAATAGGAATAAATAGAAATAAATAGGAATAAATAGGAAAGTATAGGAATGAATATAAATAAATAGAAATAAATAGGAATCGATATAAATAGAAATGAATAGAAACAAATAGAAATAAATAGAGATAAATAGAAAGAAACAGAAAAAAATATGAATAATAAAAAATAGGAATATTAGAAATAAAGATTAGTAAATAGAAATAAACATTAATGAATAGAAATAAATAGGCAACAAGTAAAAAAACGAAACCTATATGCAATCAATTTACAAAATTAAAAAAGGTTGTGTAATCACTGAACATTTATTTCAACGAATGGAAAGAGTTTGAGGGATATTTTAAATATTATTCTGAGTTATTTTTAATAAAAAAAATAATACTTTTCTAGCAGACAAATGTGCTTGAACATTTGAACGATTTTTCGAGCATTTTTTTATATCGATGAATATCGTTGATTAGAAATTATGACTCATTGATGAAGGATTTTGGTCTATGGCACAAACTCTGATTTTCTAATCCCAAATATCTTTTTAATTCAGTGTCGTAGACCTTAGACATTTTACTCTGTTAGATCAAATAATCTTTTTTTTTTTGAAAAATCTAAGATGTTATACCATCAGGTTGCGAAGGAATAGCCAGGGATTAGAAGGTTTTAAAAAAATGTGTTGACTTGAAAGCTTGAAAATGAGATCGTGCTTTAAACCACTTTTTCCTTGGTTTAATTTTGTATAATTTGGATTAAAAACGTTCTATGAACTTCATTTTGATTAAAACTTTACAATAAAAATATTAAACTATAACAAAATTAGCACGTATAAAATAAAATGTATTGAATCTAATAGACCGTCTTCTGTGATGTTCATGGGGTTTTCTATGAATGTGCAGGAATTCCTCAACAGTTTTACCTCTCAGGTTCTAGTAATATTAGTCATTTAAAGGGAGAGACCGGCTAGACATGGTAGTTGAGCTGAAAGTGCAGTATTGTAGAGAAAAACTTCAGGATTCATTTGATACAATAAGACATTTTTAAGACAAGAGCGTAAAGTTGTAAACTGATCAAATATTACAAACGACTTTACTTTCTTATTTAAAATTTGATGATAAAAATTTTTCATTGATATCAAATGAATCCTAAAATTTTTTTCTACAATACTGCACTTTCAGCTTAACTACCATGTCTGGTAAGTCACTCCCTTTAAAAAGTAAAGATTCTTTATGAAGTGTCACAAAATATTCTGTAGTTTCGTTAAGTATGCTAATATAGCTGATTTAATAACAGAGTTGATATTAATGAATGAAACTTTAATGAGGATCTCTTACTCTTTAAATACCAATATCTAAAGGTTTGCAGTCTGTAATCACTTTATACATAAAGTAAAGCTGCAAAATGTAATCACTTCTACATCACTTATGAGTCTGAATTAGTAGTTAAATAAAGTTAATTGAATTTCGACTCGTGGTTCAAAGTACTGCACTAAGTGTTGGTGTTTGTAAATTGTCTAGTTTTTTTATTGTTATTGTACATAGACCTGCCCTTTACTGATATAAAGGTTCTCAATCAATTTCTGTTTTACTTTTTAGTTCTTTTCTGTGCTTTATGTTTACTGGCCCTCTATCTGCTCTCTACCTTTGCTACGGTGGCCTGGCTACTCTGCCCTTTTTGGGGTACACTTGCCAGGTAGATCTAGTTCTAGTTCCCGGTAGATCTAGTTCTAGTTCCAGGTAGATCTAGTTCTAGTGTCAGGTAGATCTAGTTCTAGTTCCCGGTAGATCTAGTTCTAGTTCCAGGTAGATCTAGTTCTAGTTCCAGGTAGATCTAGTTCTAGTTCCAGGTAGATCTAGTTCTAGTTACAGGTAGATCTAGTTCTAGTTACAGGTAGATCTAGTTCTAGTGTCAGGTAGATCTAGTTCTAGTTACAGGTAGATCTAGTTCTAGTTCCAGGTAGATCTAGTTCTAGTTCCCGGTAGATCTAGTTCTAGTTCCAGGTAGATCTAGTTCTAGTGTCAGGTAGATCTAGTTCTAGTTACAGGTAGATCTAGTTCTAGTTCCAGGTAGATCTAGTTCTAGTTCCAGGTAGATATAGTTCTATTTCCAGATAGATCTAGTTCTAGTTCTAGTTCCAGGTAGATCTGGTTCTATTTCCAGTTAGATCTAGTTCTAGTTCTATTCCAGATAGATCTAGTTCTATTTCCAGTTAGATCTAGTTCTAGTTCTAGTTCCAGGTAGATCTAGTTCTAGTTCCAGGTAGATCTAGTTCTAGTTCTAGTTCCAGCTAGATCTAGTTCTAGTTCCAGGTAGATCTAGTTCTAGTTCCCGGTAGATCTAGTTCTAGTTCCCGGTGTATCTAGTTCTAGGTCCAGGTAGATCTAGTTCAAGTTCCAGGTAGATCTAGTTCTAGTTCCAGTTAGATCTAGTTCTAGTTCTAGTTCCAGGTAGATCTGGTCCTAGTTCCAGGTAGATCTAGTTCTATTTCCAGGTAGATCTAGTTCTAGTTCCAGGTAGATCTAGTTCTAGTTCTAGTTCCAGGTAGATCTAGTTCTAGTTCTAGTTCCCTGTAGATCTAGTTCTAGTCCAGGTAGATCTAGTTCTAGATCTAGGTAGCTCTAGTTCTATTTAAAATTCTGTGATGGTGATGGACTAAACCTCTGTAGAGTAAAAAAAAGTAGATGTTAGTTCCATATTCATTGAAAATATATTTCGGTCTGGGTTGACCCTCGTCAGTTCTTGAATGTCCAGGTAGATCCAGCTCTAGTTTCAAATAGATCTATTTCTAGTTCCAGGTAGATCTAGTTCCAGATAGATCTAGTTCCAGGTAGATCTAGTTCCAGATAGATCTAGTTCCAGGTAGATCTAGTTCCAAATAGATCTAGTTCCAGGTTGATCTAGTTCCAAATAGATCCAGTTCCAGGTAGATCTAGTTCCACAGAGACATTCTTCCCTAACTCCCCAAGTCATCAAGTGGTGAATTTTCGAAGATTCGAAATGTTTTATTTATTATGAATAAAAAACATCAAGACCATATTTTTAACAAATATTCCTCATTTCTCAAATTCATTTTCAACCTTAACTAAGATGATGATGCTGATGATCAAATAAACAGAAGAATGCTTAAATGCCACAGTTGTAGAAGGCCCAATGTGTAGGATGATGAGAGCATACAGTTATGAGTTGAGAGCTGCTGCTGTAGCTGAAGGGAAGGAGAATACTAGTTCAAGGATATTGATGGGGGAAATGTATAATATCTACTATGACAACAGAGACCTCAGGTGTGTCACGTTTGCGTTAAAACAAAATTAACTTTTCAAGTTCATGGACAAAAAAAACAAAGAATGATAAATAATTTATTTTTTAAACTTATCTTGCGGCCAATTAACAAATTTAACTTTCTAAATTGAAACCGAAAAATGTGCAGTTTTCCTAAAAACAATTTGCAAATTTGTTTACGAAAGTAAATTTTCAGTTTTCAATATAATATTTTTTCATACACGTGTTTTCAAAAAATTAATTAATCAATCGAAGTGAAATTCTATTTTCTCATTTTACGAATAAAATGCGTCACAACTGACTTCACAGCAGATTTATTGAATTCTCGTAAATTGACCATAAAGCTTTTTACGGCTCAGAAAAAACATGTACGGAAAAAAGTTTCCATTTCAGATTATATACAGCACAAATATATATGAAAAATATCTTGTTAGATTATTGTTGGATCTGTTGGCTGCAACCTCGGGGTTAGCTCCTTGTCTCAGGGTGATGGCTCTTCTTGATAAATCATTTAGAGTTGAATGCCAACCAATCATTCATTCTTTAGGAAGAGAAATTTTTTTGTGAAAGTAGCTGATCAAACAATTTTTAAAACTTTTGCTACTTTTTTTACTTTACCCTTTATTTTCCATTTGCAAGTACCATACTTATAATATATGATAATGAGAGAAGACCATATTGCTAACAAATGCAAATTTTAAGTATCTATTTTGTAATATTGATAAATGCAATATGTCCTTAAAAAAAACTCTCGACATAATTTATACTTCTTAATAAATCTACATATCATATATTCTCTGGACACTCGAAATTGTTTATTCATATATACATAGACAGTTTAGAATAGCCTGCTGAGCCTGTGCCTGCTGAGCCTGTGCCTGTTGAGCTTGAGACTGCTGGGCATTTGCTTGACTTAACTGCTGATAAGAAGCTTGAGCCTGCTGGTAAGGAGCCTGAGCTTGCTGAGAACTAGCTAACTGAGCTAAATCCTGCTGAGTATCAGCCAATTGAGCCTGAGCTTGTTGATACTGGGCTTGAGCTGCCTGCTGAGCCAAAGCTTGCTCGGAAAAAGAGTTGAAATTTGCCATTTACTTAGCACGTCTTTCTTGCTCAAATGCTTCTAAGAAACTGACCTGATTGCCGATTTTCGGAAATGTTTCCCGGATTTTTTGCTTAAATTTCGTTCATTTTCGAAAAAATTTAATCCTTTATTGCTTATGTAATCTTTATTTTAGATGAGGGGGAATTAGTTCTTGTGTTTTCAGAATCTCCTTTAGGTAAAAAAAAAATTGAATAACACAAATTATAGATGAGTTTATTTTAAGTTTTTCCCCTTTTCTTTAATTTTTGATAATCACGTAAAATGATATTTTTTCTAGCTCGACATATATTTGGAAAAATGGATGTAATACAGTGTATGTACACTGTACAAATAATACCAAGAACAGATAAGGTAATATTTATGCGTAAACTGAAAAGGTTTTAAGAGACTGTGCACTAAATTGTGCATTGAATGCAAAACTTCTTTTTTTATAAATTTGAATAATTTTATTAATTTATTTTACTTAGAATCCCATACGCTATAATACCGTGCACAAATAATAATGTCAGATGAATATTGTATTGTGACCCATTTTTTTTTAATTAAAACTGCTTTTATATTTTTCTTTTAATCCAGGATTCTGTTGAGGTTGTCCTTTTTACTAAGGAAGACGAGCTTAAATTCTTTAGGAAATTGTTTTTCTTGTTTAAGATTAGAAATATATAAAAATGTTTCGTTTACACCAAAATAAAATGTAAAGATATAGATTGTAACCTTACAGTTCATACTGTTAAGTTCCTTTATAATTTACAAAATTTCCAAGGAGGGAGGGGTGGAGAAGCTCCCACGGGGTTTTGGAGTACGTAAGACGCAGAAACCAATCAGAACCCATTCGGTCCAGCCGTTTGGCCGGCTATAGGGAACATATATAAGAATGTCTTTTTTTTATTATTTAGATAAACTATTTTCAGCATTTGTAAAATCAAAACTGAAAAATCCTTTCCTTTAATGAAAACCATTACAATGGAGCATAAACCAATTTGTGTAACAATTCATGACTTGAGAATAATAAACAATTAAAAAACGCACTTTCATATTTCACAAAATATCATGACAGTTTTATCTTAACTAGATTAAAATGGACAACTGAATTATTTTATATATCTTTTTCTTCATTATGCTTATTAAAACGGAGAATCAAGGTAATCCTGCATTTTTAAAAACAATTTCCCGCATTTTAATGTTTAATTCAATTGAAGGAATATAAGAATATAAATATTGGAATTTTGAAAATGTTTATAAATCATTTGTTTTATTTGATAAAAAATGCATTAAAAGTAAGAACAAATGATAATTGCGGAAATGGCGAATAAAAAAAAATTAATTTTCTTTCAATCTGTAGTTTTTAGATCTAGCGGCCATTTCCTGGTTGCCCGATAAATCTAAAGACGATGGGAAAAGGGAGGATTCCTTAGATCTCTCAATAAATTGAAGATTTTCGGTTTCGTGTGGGGAAATAAAACGATTCTAAATTTGACATTGTTATTTTCTTACTGTTGAGTAAAAAGGTTTCATTAATGGCCAAAGTTATTTTTCTTAAAAAAAAAATCTAAGTTAAAAAAGACTATTTATAAAAAATATTTTGATATTAAATGTGGTTGCTACTGAGATTTGTTTATATCCAAATGTATCTAGACAAAATTAAGCTAAAAAGAGAAAGCAGAGCTGGGAACTGAAGAATGGATAACCTTTAATCCCAACTACTTAATCCGAATAGCTACTGTGGAAACTTTTAATTGTAGTCCTTAATCCACTCTTTTTCTCTCTCTTTGGATATCCGAACATTAATTTCTCAATGAGAGTGCATGGCAGGAATATAGTTTGTAAATTGTATTGGCCAATGACAGCTTGGAAAATAAATTCTATCCCCGAGAGAAATCTGCAATTTCTAACAAATAAAGAATTTGTTGTCGGCCATTTTGTAAATTAATCGGTTAAGAAAAATAAATGATAATACTTTTGAGATTCTTTTGTAACCGACTTTAACTAATGAATAAATGGGTAAGAATTAAGTGAAGGCCATTTCAGTCAAGAAAAAAAACAATCAGGCGTTCTTAGAACCCGATTTGTTGATCTAAATATTTAATCCCAAGACTAACATAATCTCGAGATTAGAAAAAACAGAGGATTAAGCATTAATCCTGATATCTACCATTCTAAAGTTCCCAGCACAGAGTTGAAAACTTTAGAATGGGATTTCTTTAATCTCGATCTGTTAATTAGTCTGGAGATTAATAACAAGAGGAGAACAAGCCATATTTAATCTGGAGATTAAGAAAAAGAGTGGATCAAGCATTAATCCTGATATCCACCATTCTAAAGTTCCCAGCTCAGAGCACTTTTCACAATTTTTTAATTTAAAGTACCCTTTTTTAGTACAGTTTACTATAGTTCTGATTATTTAACCCAAAACTCTAGAAGCTGCTCCAACACTATTGGGAGCTGCTTCAAAATCCTGGGAGCTACTCCAACTATGCTTCTCTCGTCCAAAAACTAATGGATAGTTTTTCTCATACTTTTCTTATTTTGTTAATGTTAACAACATCTTGAAATTGATTTATACAGTTATTTTCGGAAAACAGGAAAAATCATAAAACCAGGGGATCTTCCAAGGTGATCTTTTAAAACAATTTTAAAAAGAAAGATAAAATAATTTTAAAAAGATGTAAATGCATTTAGTTTCCTAGTACATGACAGTTAGAACGACCAAGCTGTAAAATTAATGTCATCTCTTTTCTCCCTTTAACTCAAGAAATTCACTTTAAATTTATTAATTTACATGTTGAAGTAGTAGTTGAAGTGGTTCAACTACTGGTTCAACTACGTTTACGTGGTTCAACTGCGTCTATGTGGTTCAACTATGTCTATTTGGTTCAACTACGTCTACATGGTTCAACTAAGTCTACGTGGTTCAACTACACTTTAATGATCTATTTAAGTCTACGTGGTTCAACTACGTCTACATGGTTCAACTACGTCTATGTGGTTCAACTTCGCCAACGTGGTTCAACTGCGTCTATGTGGTTCAACTCCGTCTATGTGGTTCAACTGCGTCTATGTGGTTCAACTACGTCTACTTGGTTCAATTACGTCTAATTGGTTCAACTACATTTACATGGTTTAACTACGTCTATGTGGTTCAACTACGTCTACTTGGTTCAACTACGTCTACTTAGTTCAATTAAATCTTTGTGTTTCAACTACGACTACGTGGTTCAACTACGTCTATGTGGTTCAACAGCGTCTACTTGGTTTTGTGTTTCAACTTCCTCTCGCTATTAATTAAATCTGGTGCAAGGACATGTAATAATTACAAAAATACAAATAAATAATAAAAGTAAAGATGTTGATATCAATAGATTCACGAAGTAAAATGTAAAAATAATAAATAACAAGTTTTGATGAATACTTAAAGTTTTAAAAATAATCAGTAAAATAAATAAATTTTGATAATCATTTAAATATGTAATTTTAGAAAAAAGTTCAGTTTTCGAGGAGTTGAACAAGATGAAACATACACTATTAAAGTTTCTTTAGGTAAAGTTACATTTTTAAAAAAGACTATCTGAACAGCCCGGCGTGGCCCATGGAACAAAAAATAAATAATGCACTAATTTCACTAAAAGATAAGCACTTTAGTCTAACAATATCACTTTTATTTATAGTTTTGTCAGACAGAAAATTCGTGTTGACACTTATGACGTTTAATCAGCTGTAATGAAAGTGTACGCATTCTGTGTTGCCATCTATTGTACTTGACAACCTATTTGGGGTTAAACAGATACGCATGTTCATTGTACAGGGGGCTACTCAATAAAAGTAAAACACATGTACAGTGAATTTCTCAATAAAAATCAAACGCAAATTGTTCTACAGGTAGTTTCTTAACAAATGTTAACCGGTTATTCAGGTACATTCATAAAAGTTAAACGGATATTGAGGTACAGGGTGTTTCTCAGTAAAAATGCAAAAGATATTCCTGTGGTGTAAAGGGGGTCTCTCAATAAAAGGTACACAGATATTAGTTAACAGGAGGTTTCTCCATAAAAGTAAAACGGATACACTGTACAGTATTTTAAATAAAAGTTACCGTGATATATGTACTGTACTTAAGAAATACAAGTGGATTTGCCTCTAGTTTACAAAACCAATTCATTTTTTTAATTAAGGCTGCCCAGGCAACTTTGATTGCTGCTAGTATGATGAACGTGAAGGAGGTGTAGCATGAGGTGAACAAGGAGAGGATGGAGGGGATAGAGTTGGACGAGAGTCTCAGATTAATTGAAAATAACTTCACATCAGTCAATCTTTCACCAAATAAAAAACATTAAAATCCTAAAACTGGATATATTAAAGGCCTGTTAACAATTGCCAAATGTTACCAAAATAGCAAAAAAAAACCGGGAAAAATTGCTCCCATTACGCTGCGACTAATGTTAATGCCCGTTTGAGGAGCATTGCATGGCTGCACGTTAGAACGAGCAATCAGGACGCAATATTTGGGACACAATATGAGAACGCATTCTAGAAGACTTTTTATTGAAGATGCACTTTAGTAATTAATAATAAATTAATACAATTTTTGACAGTTTCAAACTAGGGTGGTACCGAGATGGACTACCCAGGTGGCTGTTAGAGTGCAGTTGGACGGGGGCGCATGTCATTGGTCTGTACTTAGACAGTTGGCGTAACCAATTGGTACATTATTAACTATTATGGTTATTTTTGACGAAGTCTCAGCCCTGACTTCCATGGAATGATGGTTGATCGCTTGTTTTTTTGTTTTGTTTCAGAGTGCACTAAACATCGCAGATAATCTTGTTATTAATTTGGTTAAAAAAACAATTGGGTTGAGTTTTTTATCTGAAACTAGCTGAAGTGCCAAGCTTTATCTCTGGAATTTTAAAAACACTTGAATGTGTTATTTTCGAAATTTAAAGAAAAAAAATTCAGTCAATTTTGTTCAGCCGTTTGTCCAGCTTTAGCTAACATATATAAATATATGTGAGCGAAGAGCTTTATATCTTACATACTCGCTGAAGGGCCCAGCGTTGACCGTGAAAAAATAATGAAGAACATTTTTTTTCGATTTTTTTTTTGCCTAAGAATTCCCTCGGCCACCCATGAGTGTTCACAAAAAAATTCAGCCCATTCGGTCCAGCCGTTTGACCGGCTATTGGTGACATATATACGAATGTCTTGTTCAATTATATAGAAATAATACGATTAAAACACTTTTTGTAAACAAAATTAATTCTTTGTTTCATATAATTATAATATTTACTTTCCAAAATCATTTACTATATTTATCCCTACGAATATTCAATGATTTATCAAATTTCTCCTTGAACCCTGATGCATGGAAACATAATTAATGTTGATGTAGGAATAAATGTAAATTCTTATTTCATTCTAACATCTTTTTTTCACATATTTTTAAAATATATTAATTTATTTTTATTGTAGAAATATATCTGTGTATTAATATATATTACATTTATTTATTCAAGAGAGAGAGATTTAAACTTATGGCACACCAATATTCTATTTTAAATAGATATTTTGTCTGTTTTAAAACACGGATAGAATTGAAAAGATATGTTGTACTTGCATAATAGCAAAAGATTTTCCTTTCGATATTTTCTTTATAGCTAACGAAATAATAATGACGTATAACATACATCATAAAACTCTGTTCAGAATAGATATCATGTTGTAATTACAGTTAAAGGCTAGAAGTATAAATGAATGAATGTATATACATAAACTCTGTTCAGAATAGATATCATGTTGTAATTACAGGCTAGAAGTATAGATATCATGTTGTAATTACAGGCTAGAAGTATAAATGAATGAATGGATAATACATAAAATTTTCACTTTCCTGAATAATCAAAAAATGATCTGTAACACATACTTAATTTCTTCCATCTTCTTCCACTTATTTCTTTCACTTCTTTTTTGCCCTTAATGTGCCCCCTCCCCCTTCTGAAGAAAGGGGGGGGGATGGGAACGTGCACCCTCCCCTCGCTACGGGCCTAAGATAGATTATATTGATATACAATACATAGAAAATTGAATAATTTCTATTAAAGCCTCCAGCTTTTTGCTACTGCATGTAGTCTTCAATTCTTAGCTATTGAACTTTTTAAATACCTGGATACCTGGATACCTGGATACCTGGATACCTGGATACCTGGATACCAGGATACCTGGATACCTGGATATCTAGATACCTGGATACCTGGATACCTGGATACCTGGATACTTGGATACCTAGATGCCAGGATACCTGGATACCTGGATACCTGGATACCTGGATACCTGGATACTTGGATACCTGAATTTTGTTTTGATATTAATAAGTACGTACCCACGTGTTCTTTGACATGAATGATTAATCATAGATGAACTTGGGGTTGAAGGTTTATTTCCTTCCCAACCTTTCTCCCCGTATATCCATGGATATCAAGTATTGACTAGCCGGGTATACTCTTTACAGCCTGAGACTGGGGGCAGTTTGTGTTCAACAATATCCAGAATACCTTAGTATTTTTGGTTTTAGAAACAAAACCAATTTTTGGCAATTTTTAACAGACAAGGTTTTTAAGGGACAAATATTTATATTTTACAAAACATAACTATATGTTCTAAAATTTTTATTAAACTATACAAAATGTACAGGAAGGTAAGAAACTAAAATATTTATTCTTTAGTTGTAAGATATAGACAACTTTCAAACTTAATTTATATACAGCTTCGACTGTAAAGTGTCACAGTTTTACCTCACCAACTTATTATACTTTTTTGTAGCCTTAGACATATACATTTTTAAAATAAAACACACTTATTTCTAGCTTAATTTAAAAAAAAGTAATTGGCAAAAATCTGCTAGATTTTGTGTGAGAGCGTGCACATCTTGGTTTAAAGTGAGTTAATGAAAGATTAAATGCTTTTCAAAATTAATCGTGGTATCAGAGTTACTATTTCAAAGTTCAAGCTCAAGCTATCACTCAGAGATCCCCCTGAGGAGAAATAATGATACTTTTTGTCATGATTTATATCTTAAATAAATTTCACGTTTATTTATGTTCGCATTATAGAATAATTGGATTTTTTGTTAAAATGCAATATAGAGTTTTAAATAACAATATTTTTGGAATAACTAAAAGTGAAATGATAAAATTGATGATTATAAACAGATAAATAACGAGATAAAAGATGGCTACTTTGGGAAATATAAACAGATAGAAAACGAGATAAAAGATGGCTACTTTGGGAAATATAAACAGATAAAAAACGAGATAAAAGATGGCTACTTTGGGAAATATAAACATATATAAAAAACGAGATAAAAGATGGCTACTTTGGGAAATATAAACAGATATAAAAAACGAGATAAAAGATGGCTACTTTGGGAAATATAAACAGATATAAAAAACGAGATAAAAGATGGCTATTTTGGGAAATATAAACAGATAAAAAAACGAGATAAAAGACGGCTACTTTGGGAAATATAAACAGATAAAAAAACGAAATATAAGATGGCTACTTTGGGAAATGCCTTGATGGGAGCATTGTTGGGGCATTCAGATGCTGAGAAAATGTTCAGGTACAATTAGAATATGAAGACGACATTTAAGTAATCATATATGTATTTGTGTATCCATTAAAAACATTGATATCTTATGCAATCTCGATCAAATAAAGCTTAAAGGGAAACGTTGTATATCGGATATGCCAATAAAAAAAAGGACCGGGTCACTTGAAATTATTTGAAAACATCAATTACAATGCTGTCCAAACATGTATTTTTTTTACATTTTTCAGACCATGGTGGGACACTCTGGAAGATTTTGTAATCTATGGTTTAATCATGCTCGGACTTATTGTTAGGAAAATCATAATTTATAGAATCAAATTTTTTAATTTTTTATAGAATTTTGTCTGTTTTTTCACTATGCCAACAAACTATCAGCGAGCCTTTGCATGGGTATAAATATTTAATCAGATGGAAAATTACAAATTATAAACCATGAAAAAAGCAGGGATTTAAAATTTATGGGGAAACACGAAAACACTGGCTTCACACACAGACATGGAAATCAAATGACGATATAAAACATGTTTTGATTATAATTGAATGATAAATGCAAGAAAAGCATATTGTATATTGTCATAACACAGCTTTTTTGTAATTACATAGAGATTATTTTTCAAAATTTTTGTGGAAACTTTGATATTTTTTAAATAAAAAGAAAGAAAAAATTATGAATTTTTGAAGCCCGACAACCATTTTTAATGGAACACCTTTGTATTGCACTCAGTGTATTAAGGTAAAGTTTATTAGATTCTAAACTCTACAATAAAAATCAATCTTACATCTGTGACAAAATATATATGATGTATGTCTCACACCTGTACCCGATCAAATCAATATCGCTATTCCGATTGGGCTACTTTTATTTAATATTTGCCCTAAGAGCTTAGATAGGGGAGTGTGATACATGTCTCTTTTGTTCACTTTTTTAAGGTCAGATCATTAAAACAAATTAGACCTCTAGTTTCAATGGTTAAAGTGCTAGGAAGGTTTTAAAAAAAATTAGAAAAGTGCGTCGGAAGAAGTTTGAAAAATATTTCATTCTACTCTTGACTAATATTTTTTCCATTTACATCAATTTTTCAAGGGCTTTTAAACTTAATAAAACTTAGATCTGTAGCTCAATTAATATGGACTATTTTTGATTGACCTTTCTCCCACATTATTTTCACATTCATTTGCGTAAAGTCCCGTTTTGCCTCATATAGTCTGTATTTGTACTGATAGGTACTGCTTGGCCAGGTTAGTTGAAATTCGGCCCGGTACATAAAATGAACTGGAATGCAACGTGCATCACCCTACCAGGCCTATGTTTTTTTTTCAAAATTTGTTCACAACTATGAAGTTGAAAAAGTAAAATGTTTGAGCGTTCTTATGTAAGCCGTTTTTAAATTTATAGGCTTTCAGGGCGCTTAGCTTCTTCTATTTCAATTGTGAACAATTTCTATTTGTATACATTGTAAAACAATAACAAAAAAATGTTTGCGGATTTTATGAAAAAATTTCATGGACTTTCAAAATCTAATAAAAATCAAATTTTGATCGTCCATTTTCCTAGTGTCACGCGAGGTCCCACAAAAATATGGGCCCGATCGGTTGAGCCGTTTTGAAGTTTAGCGTATAACAGACACCCAGACAAGCAAAGTTTATTAATAGATTGAGAAAAATCCTAAAGGGTAGGGGGAGGAAAACACCTCCCCCCCAATCGTGATAAGGTTAAAAAATAATTGTTGTGTATCAGAACTGACTATCTTAACTTAAATCGTCGCTTGTGTTGAAATTACGTTTACAGAATTGGAAACTCTTGTATTGTGTAAATTGAGATCAATACAGAGGTGGAAACTCTTGTATTGTGTATATTGAGATCAATACAGAGGTGGAAACTCTTACTATTTAAGTTAAAAATGTCCTATTTAAGTTAAAAATGTCCTATTTAAGTTGTTAAGATCGAAGTTATGTAATTTAGAAGGAATTTTTTAATCACTATATCTTTGCAACCCAATTTTGTAGACCTTAGATATTTGAAACTTTAAATTTTGGATCAAATAGTTTATGCTTGAAATGTAAAAGGTTTACACCGCCAGGTTACAAAGATACAAGGATTAGTGGCAAATACTCAATTCTTTTGATGACTTAATGCCTAAATAATTAATAGCTTCAACCATAAATAAGAAGTGGAACCAGCAGTTCCCAGTTCAGCTATTTCTCATTCATAAATATGCATCTGTGAAATTTTTCTGAAAATGCATTGCTTAATCCATCAACCTATCAACATTTGGAATTATTAGATAAGATGTGTTTTTTTTTACATAATTCACACTGAAACCTTTACTTCATTATTTTCAGCTGCCATTGAACGCTTGTTTTCTCGAATATTTAAAACAAATATTCAAATTGATGGATTCTATTCTCTACTCAAAACTGAAGCATCATCCAACATCGAGGTAAAATTCAAGAAATAATTCTCATATATGTTTAACAATCTAAATAAAAGAATAAAAAAATTATTTATTTAATTAATTTACAATAAGTTACACTTTAACAACGATCTAAAGCGCGGAAGTATGCATACTTTTGTCTTACTTAAATTCTGCCCTATTCACTGCCTTTTTCAGTTAACTTGATTGTTTGAGAAATAAACAATGTAGAAATCCATTAACAAAGAAAAAGTATGAAAATAATTACATTTTTTGTCTAAAATACTTGGAAACTTACATCTCATTCCCATCTTTATATACTTGTAGAGTACTGAATCTAAAAATGAACTGGAGAATAATATCTTTATATACTTGTAGAGTACTGAATCTAAAGATGAACTGGAGAATAATATCCTTGTATACTTGTAGAGTACTGAATCTAAAGATGAACTGGAGAATAATATCAAGACTGTAGAAATCAGAGAATCATTTAAGGTAAAACAAAATCTTCGGCATCACGTGCAGCCTAAAATAAATTGCACATCATCTTGAATACTTAAACATGTAAAATAAAATCATTTCCCTTCATTGAAGAGGTATTGAAAAGAACATATTTGAATTTTAATATGTGCCCCGGATAAATGTAAAATAAAATCATTTCCCTTCGTTGAAGAGGTATTGAAAAGAACATATTTGAATTTTAATATGTGCCCGGATAAATGTAAAATAAAATCATTTCCCTTCATTGAAGAGGTATTGAAAAGAACATATTTGAATTTTAATATGTGCCCCGGATAAATGTAAAATAAAATCATTACCCTTCATTGAAGAGGTATTGAAAAGAACATATTTGAATTTTAATATGTGCCCCGGATAAATGTTCCTTATAAACTAAACTAAAAGTTATTAGTTCATCGTCGAAAAATACTAACAATCCACCACTAATTTATGTAAAATATAGTGTAAACAATAAATATGTAACTTTCCTTATCCTTTCCTTTCCCTTTCTTTTTATTTCTATTTTATATTTTTTTAGAATTGGGGGGAAATATTCCCACAACCTCTACTTTTAGAGGTTTTAAATATTTTCTCCTGGAACACTTTATTTTGTATGTTTTTGTTATATTTCATAAATAAATAATTTTTTACTTTTTACTTTTATTTGTTTGCGTAGTAACAATGTATTCTCTTTTTGTCAAGTTTGTGGTGATAAACTTTCAGTCTGATAAATATAATTTCATTTCTTCAATTATGTTCGGTTAAAAAGATTATATAAAGATTATATGTATCAAATTTCAATGAAAAAAGTAAATTTGTTTAGGAAAAGAGCAGTTTCTACAAGTCCTACCTGGTTCGAACCATGATAGAGTTTGTGCTAGCTGTTCTACTGGCTCTATACATGGTTTGGTTTGGAATTAAAGAGATAGAAAGAGACAAGGAAGAAAACATGAGAATATAAAATTAAATATTTGTTATGAGACTTCAGAGACAACTTTTCAGATTTTATTTAGAATTTAAATATTGAAATTTTATGTTACTTTTCATCTATAAAGCTAATATTTAATGAAAAAGAATGATTATGAATTTAAGTTATGATATACTTTTGAGCTTAAAGGGGGTGTTCGCGAAAAAAGAAAGGGAGTGGAGGGGCTTACGGCGAAAAATAATCGCTTAACTAATCTTAATTCTGTCGTCATCAAAGCCTCATTTTTGTGAGCAGCACTGTATTCACAAACTTGGCTCGACGCCATCTAATCTAACCCTATTTTTACTATAAAATAACTTAGCATTTTGATCTTGCCATTTCTAATTCTTTCTTCGGTCATTATTGGTAGGTCATACAAAGTAAAAGAAATTTTTTATTGATGAAGTCACAGAAAGAAACAAGCAAAAATATTTTTGTTTTCCATTAAAGAATGTGTATTGTGATGTTCATGGTGTTTATTATGAGTGTTCAGGAATTCCACAACAGTTCTATCTTTCAGGTAATTTACAGGGAGACCCATAAAGGATGAGACTTCAAGGACGACTGTTCAGAAATTATTCAATCTTTGTTCTGACATTCATGGCTCCTTGGTCAGCTGTAAACATGTTTTCTTTTTTTCAAAATCTTTAAAAATTCCATTTAAATATTGCTAGTAATGGGCACACCCAAATTCAACCTTCAAATCATTGTATCTAAATAGTTTTTAAACGTCTTATCCTTCATGTGTAACCAAACCAAACTAAACCAGTATTTAAATTGCTTTGGTTTTTAAATTAAAATGAAATTTTAAAAAAATGATTTTTGAAGAAAAAAATTTATCATTTAAAAATAACTGCCATGAAGTTTCAGATGATTTTTAATATTTTTTTAATGGAGAGATCTAGAAAGCATAGAATATTTCATATTTTCATTTCAAAATCTATTTTTGTAATATTTGCATCGAGCTAGATTTCATTTTTACAATTATAAAACAAATTCTAAGTGTGGAGCATTAAATTGTCTTTTAATGAAATAATATACGCAATATTGCATGTGAGCATTGTACAATGTACATAATATGTAACTACAATTCCAGTGCTATTGGTTGCTCTTGGACTCCTGGCTCTCTACCTGCTTTCTACCTTCTCTACCATAGCCTGGCTCCTCTGCCCCTGCTGGGGCAAGTTGGCAAGGTATCACAAAAGATCACAAATTGTTAGCGTGCATACGGCAAATGATTTGTTGCACTTTAAAGTTGTTGCGGTTACTTCAATCTAAGCAGTCTGCCCTTTCTGGAATACTTCATAATTGGTCCAACAAAAACTGGGTCCATATGAGTATGACTTGCCATTACAAATATAAAGAATGATTACTCCACAGCCCAGACCAGCTGGTTCCAGTTAAATTTTTTACTGCTTCGGGACCTGCAACAATTTTGCGGATGTACAGTATGCCTTCTTGCTGCAATGCATGTGCTTAAGAATAAGTTGCTTTGTTGTACAAACAATTCTTCTAGATGCGTATTTAAGTTCTGATAATATTTAAGATGTGTGTTCATTCAAAATTCAACCAACCTCAATTATATTTTAGAAAGATCCAAGTACAATGGAAAGGTCCAAGCTCTGTAAACTCCTGTTCAATTCAAGCATCCGGCCGACTTTTAACCGGTGTGGCGTTATTTCTGGGTAAGCGTTAAATAATGGTAGTAGACTCTACGCAGCAAATTTTCCTTAGCATCCGCGCATATTTTTGCAGTTTACGGCAATGTGCACAACAGAAATCTGGTATTTTATCTGAAATTTCAGAATTAAAAATTATTTTTATACACTTAAAATATACACTGATATATAATGTGAGTACAGAAGTAATTATCTATATACATTAAACTCTCATTAGTTGCAAGTATCAGAATCTTAACAATTAACTTACGTAAACTATAAGATGAAATATTGATCCCTAATGTTAAAACAATTGATTTTTACTGTATGTCGCTCAGCAAAACTTGATTGATTCTCAAATATGAGAAATACTTTCCCTTACTTTACTGTTTACATTCACAGAATTGTGCGCAAATGCCGCAGAAAATTTACTGCGTAGAGTCTACTACCATTATTTAACGCTTACTCAGAAATAACACCACACCGGGACAGTACGATCTAAATGAATGATCCCTCTCATAGAAAAATACATATGTGTCCGTAATATTAATTTTACAGGATGATGAGAGCATACAGCTATGAATTGAAAGCTGCCGCTGTAGCCGAAGGAAAGGAGAATACGAGTGCTCGGATCCTAATGGGTGAAATGTATGAGATATACTATAATAACAGAGACCTCAGGTACGCACAATGTTAAACAGCATTTTTTTTTCAAAACATAGCTTCGTAACTTTTAATTTTTTACTGAAGGCTCAAATCTAAAATAAGTACTAAATAGATTATTGTTGGATCTGTTGGCTGCAACCTCGGGTTTAGCTCCTTGTCTCAGGGTGATGGCTCTTCTTGATAAATCATTCAGAGTTGAATGCCAACCTATCATTCATTCTTTAGGAAAGCAAATTTAAATACTTCGTAGTCTCAAAAGCTAACTTTGAGGTATATGGCTTGAAATATTTTTTATATTCTGATTATTATATCGATAATAATCCAAAACAAATTAAAATATTTCTTCCCAATATTCAAAGAGGAAACATTGTTCACGATGGAAACATTTTCTTGCATTTCTTTCTTTTCCAAATAAACCTTCAATTTGTTTTACTTTAGAAAGAAAACCTAGTGAAGAAGAAAATGGTATGTATTTATAAAAATCATTTATTTGACATTAATGAATTACATAAAAAGAGCCTTTTTTTTATAAAAAGTGGGGTCCATAAAATGTAAAATAGGGAGAGGGCTATTTCAGGATTTAAGATAGGGGCCTTTAACCCCACCCCTATATTAATTTTACCCCCCCTCAAATCTTATAACGAAAATTTACCCCTAAAAGTTCTATTTACACCCTTAGGCCCTAACCCAACTAAAATTACAGTTTATTTTACCCTTGAGTACAGGGTAGGCAAATGTCTTAATAATCTACTTATTTCTCCAAACAAAATATTATGAATTGAACTTTATACATTAACATTTTATACATTTTATATCATATTATTCGAATGAAGGGAGAATTATTTGTTATTTCCTGCTATTATTATTTCTTTTTGTAAATAATGATTCTTAAATCATGCTAATTTTTCTTGCAGGAGACTGCAAATAGTTTCTTTGTTTTTTTAGCGTTACAAATGAAAGTATACAATAAGAACGCTAAAAGTAAACAAAGTAATTGAACAAGTTAATATGAAATGATGCAGTTTTATTTCCAACTTGATTGTCAGAAAATATAAATTTGATGAATGAGACAATTATCTTATATCTCATATTTACAGAGGATGAAGACAAGGTTGTTCTTGTGTTTTCCGAATCCCCCTTAGGTAAATTAATATCATATTATCTATGATTATCAAGGAAAAAGACCTCTTATAGAGCTGTACTGTAACAGAATTGTTTAAAGGGAGTGACCGGCTAGACATGATAGTTGAGCTGAAGGTGCAGTATTGTAGAGAAAACAACTGATGAAATATTACAAACGACTTTACGCTCTTATCTAAAATTTGTACACCGTACAAATGTCTCAATGGTAACAAATGAATCTTTAAGTTTTTCTCTACAATACTGTACTTTCAGCTCAACTACCGTGTCTATCAAGTAACTTCCTTTACAGATAAAGTAAACAATCAATCAATTTAATGTTTTTTCTAGCTCGGCATATATTTGGAAAGATGGATGCTATTCAGTGTATGTACACTGTACAGATTGTACCAAGGACAGACAAGGTATGTACACTGTACAGAATGTACCAAGAACAGACAAGGTATGTACACTATACAGATTGTACCAAGGACAGACAAGGTATGTACGCTATACAGATTGGACCAAAGACAGACAAGGTATGTACGCTATACATATTGTACCGAGGATAGACAAGGTATGTACTCTGTCCAGATTGTACCAAGGACTGACAAGGAATGTAAACTATACAGATTGTACCAAGGACTGAAAAGGTATGTACGCTATACAGATTGGACCCAGAAAAGGTATGTACGCTATACATATTGTACCAAGGACAGAAAAGGTATGTACGCTATGCATATAGTACCAAGGATAGACAAGGTATGTACTCTGTCCAGATTGTACCAAGGACTGATAAGGTATGTACACTCTACAGATTGTACCAAGGACAGACAAGGTATGTAAATTGTACAGATTGTACCAAGGACAGACAAGGTATGTACACTGTCCAGATTGTACCAAGGACTGATAAGGTATGTACACTCTACAGATTGTACCAAGGACAGACAAGGTATGTACACTGTACAGATTATACCAAGAACAGACAAGGTTGTACACTGTCCAGATTGTACCAAGGACAGACAAGGTATGTACGCTTTACAGATTGTACCAAGGACGGACAAGGTATGTACACTGTACAGAATGTACCAAGGACAGACAAGGTATGTACATTGTACAGATTATACCAAGAACAGACAACGTACGTACACTGTACAGATTATACCAAGAACAGATAAGGTTATAGATTTTTAATAAAAAATATGTTAACCTAGCTACATATACCTATTCAAGGATTCAGTGGAGGTTGTTGTTTTTACAAAAGAAGATGAATTAAAATTCTTCAGGGAAAAAACAAATTAGAAATTTTAATTAGAAATGTATCCATGTTTTGCCTATAATTTTTTCAACATATGGCTGTGTAAGGTTTTATTATATAGTAGATATTTATAATATTTTATTAATAAAATCTTTTACCGATCAATGGAAGCGGCTTAATTTTCTTTTGTTTGTGTGTATACAATTAAAAATAGTCGAAAACAAAACTTAGTTAGTATTTACATATATTATTGATTATTCACCCTTTTCATTATAGTAAATTCTGTTTAAGGAGCTGGGAGGAAGGTCAACCACAACAATTTTTCGTCCGAGCCAGATTCTCCTCATTTTCTCGTCCGAGCCACCTCGAAATCATCGTCCTTTCAATATTATTATTTTTAAGTGTCTAATCCTTCCTGATAACACTATTTTTTAAGAATGAAGCCACGTTAGGGCATAAATGAAGTATCAAATATTTGTAAATGGAAAAAAAAATTCAATTAAATTAAAGATTTCAAGTTTAATGTCTTTAATAATGTTCACCTTTTTTACACGCATTTTCAGATATTCCTGGTGTAAAATGCCGCAAATAATTCCAAGTTTATAGAACTTCATTTTTTTTGTTAACTTAGTGAAAACCATAGAATTTTTCAGGGTGGTTCCATGGGGAAAATTATAGATTCGATGTTACCATGTCTACAAACTTTCAAAATTTTGAATTTTTCACGCATATTCAGCGTGAATCACCATATTGACGTGTTTTTGCAATAATTCCACACTTTTTGAGATTTCAAAGCGTCGATATTTTCCCTTTTCTTTCTCAGATAAAGATTTAAAAGGGTACCCTCGTAGATCCACCATGCCATTTTTTTTATTAAATTATGGAGGGTACAGTCCCTTTAAACATATCCACATTGGATTAATTTGCAATTTATTTTACAATTTCAAATTTGATTTTGTGAAGTTATTTTCACCAAGCGGGAAACGTGATCAAGCCTGGGGATCTCCCAAGGTATATATCATATATAATATTTTTTTATTTCAAATGTTAAGCATGTGGAGAATTTATTTTACGTGCAGTTACTGCAATATCATATTCGTCAAATATTTTTTACAAAAACGATTTTTTTAATTTCGCGAATTGTAAATCTATAGCTGATTACGTTGCCATGCTGTAAGAAGTTTATTGATTTATACCCAGAAAATAACAATGTTTTATCACTGTAAAGTTATTTTCTTAGAGCTATCAGAAATGAGAAGATAGACAATGAGATAGTACTACTACGTACTAACCATTTTTTAACTATGATTCAACAATCTTTAAATTTACTATGTCGTCTAATTTTACTTTTTAGTTCAAAATACATCTACCGACAAAATGCATCCACCAACAAAATGCATCCACCGACAAAATGCATTTACCGACAAAATGCATCAACCAACAAAATGCATTTACCGACAAAATGCATTTACCGACAAAATGTATTAAACAACAAAATACAATCCCCGACAAGCATACCTCGACAATATGCATCCACCGACAAAATGTATCCCCGGCCAAATGCATCCACCGACAAATAGAATCCACTGACAAATTGCATCCACCGACAAAATGCATCCACCAACAAAATGCATTAACCGACAAAATGCATCCACCGACAAAATGCATACTTCAACAAATGCTTCCACCAACAAAATGCATCCACCAACAAAATGCATCCACCGACAAAATGCATTCACCAACAAAATGCATCCACAGACAAAATGTATCCACCAACAAAATGCATCCACCGAGAAAATGCATCTACCGAAAAAATGCATCCCCTGAGAAAATGCATCCACCGACAAAATGTATTCACCTACCAAATGCATCCACCGACAAAATGCATTCCCAACAAGATGCATCCACTAACAAAATGAATCCACCGACAAAATGCATTAAACGATAAAATGCATCCACCGAAAAATGCATCCACTGACAAAGTAAATTATGAAAGCGAAAAGTTTATGTTTAACTCTGGTTTAATTTGTTAAAGTGGGATATTTTTGATCTGTTATTGTCAATTTTGATTTGTTATTGATCTATTCTGATCTGTTATCGGTCTATTCTGATCTGTTATCGGTCTTTTCTGATCTGTTATTGGTCTATTTTGATCTGTTATTGATCTATTCTGATTTGTTATTGATCTATTCTGATCTGTTGTTGATCTATTTTGATCTGTTATTGATCTATTCTGATCTGTTATTGATCTATTCTGATCTGTTATTGGTCTATTTTGATCTGTTATTTGAACATTTTGATCTGTTATTGGTCTATTCTGATCTGTTATTGGTCTATTTTGATCTGTTATTTGAATATTTTGATTTGTTATTGGTCTATTCTGATCTGTTATTTGTCTATTTTGATCTGTTATTTGAATATTTTGATTTGTTATTGGTCTATTATGTTCTGTTATTGGTCTATTTTGATCTGTTATTTGAATATTTTGATCTGTTATTGATCTATTCTGATCTGTTATTGGTCTATTTTGATCTGGTATTGGTCTATTTTGATCTTTTATTTGAATATTTTGATTTGTTATTTGAATATTTTGATCTGTTATTGGTCTATTTTGATAGGTCTAAAACCAAGTTCTTGTAACGTTCTTCAACAGTGTAGTACAGTACAGTAGTACAGTACAGTACAGTACAGTGTAGTACAGTACAGTAGTACACGTTGAAAATGAAAAAAAATCTCCCTTTTTTAGGAAAAAGTTCTTTTTTCACGGAGTGGATAAAGACACGGCATACACCATCAAGGTATCTTTAGGTAATCTATATTTTCTTTATTCTAAGGATGAATAGTCATAGTTTTTTATCTTTGTCAAATCGATGTTTTCGGGTGTATTTAAAAGCATTTAAAGGGACTGTAAGCGGAAATTTCAAGTGACCCACCAAACAAAAACGGAAATGTACGATTTACAACAGTACCCTTAAAACCTTAATCTGATCGAAAACATGTTTTTGATCCTCGTCAATGTTTGGGTGTGCTAAAAATATAAAAAAAAAACTTATTAATCCCTACACACTCTAATTTTCTCAAATCTATATCTTTGCAATCTTTTTATATTAAATTAATAGCAGAAATGGACTCGGCATACAGGAGTGAAGTGCATTGTATCGGATTAGTTTTAATTATATTTTTATCTCTTATTCAAAATCTGTTTAGAATAGCGGATAAATCTAATATATTTAAGAATTTAAAATTCATAGCCCAAAAAAAAGTATAAAATAGAAAATTCAAAAAATTGAAAACTGAAGATCGTCATGTGTTCAATAAAATTTCTTAATAAAAAAGTCTAAAACTGAGTAATGTATATTATCTATAGTTCTGAATGGCAGAGCTATTGCAACTGCACAGAAGAAGATAAAGGCAGTAATCATTCCAATTCGGGACATCCAGGTATTCTACATATAGACATAAGCAAACTACAGGGTGTTACAAGTACTCTACATATAGACATAAGCAAACTACAGGGTGTTACAAGTATCTCTACATATAGACATAAGCCAACTACAGGGTGTTACAAGTACTCTACATATAGACATAAGCAAACTACAGGGTGTTAAAAGTATGAAGCATTAAGCAAATTACAGTGTGTTTCGATAAAATTGTTATTAATACAAATTTATGTACAGTAAAATTAATAGAAACACAAATTCAAAATTGATCACATCCTCAGTAATTCTCGCTAATTTTTCATTTTTTACCAAATTTTTACGGATTTATCCTTTACAGTGCAAACTTGAACATTAATGAAAATCCGAAAGAAACTGAGTTCTTGCCACTAGCTATTAATCTTCTAATCCCTATCTTTGAAACCTGATGGTGTAAACCTTTGATTTTTGAAGCTTTGACAATTTGATTTAACAAAAACATCGTGTTGCGAAGAGAAAATAACCTGAGTTTCAGTTCCGTTAGAACTTTTCCTCAATTTCTATCTTAATGTATCAAAATGATTGTAGATCAATCTCCGAATTCTACAAACCGGTTTTGTTTATACATTTTTTGTTTAGTCGGCCCAGGCAACCATTATTGCAGCAAGCTATCTCAATCTCAAGGATTTGTAGGATCTTCTAAACTTGGAGGATTCGTAGGATCTTCTAAACTTGGAGGATTTGTAGCAAACAGCTATTTGTAAATCTTGAAATAGGACCTGAGCTGAAAACTTTAGAATGGTGGATATCGGGATTAATGCTTGATCCTCTCTTTTTTGATAATCTCAAGATTAACATAATCTTGCAAGATTATCTTAAAAGTGTATGAAAAACGATAAAATTCAAATTAATATTTAATCATCTGAGAAACTGTAGCATTTAGAGATGATTTGGACAGGACAAATACGCTTTCCTTCCTTAATATTATAAATTTATACTACTAAAAATCAAAAATAACAAATCTTCAACGTTAACGAACATTTTTCTTCAATTCATTTTAAAACGTTTGAAGATTTGAACTATAAAATTAACTTAAATGCTTTTCAGTATTGATGTCACTATGTGCAATTCCTCGTTTCATGTGCTCATTAATTTATTTTTAATTGATTTAGCAAGAAGCTTTTTTTATAAAAAAAATATTGACATTAGATGCCGAATTTAAAAAATTTGAGCCGCGGCTCAAATATGGTTGGTTCCTCTTAAAATTGTATTCAATGTTTCAAGATTTATGGTGGTGCTCAATTGAAACCGGTTTTTGGCGGATCTGAGACGCAGCTTAATTTATTAAATTCGGACTCAGGACTAATAAAAATCTCTATTTTTATTTCACTATGAAACAAGTCATAAAATTTTTTATAATGGAATTAGAAAACTAGAGTTTGAGAGGAATAATCAGTCCTTTTAAAATGATGTGCGTAGTTTTTCTTCTGTAAAACGTGAATTATATCAGAAAATTTGAAAAAATGGCCTCATTGGGGGATGCCCTGTTGGGAGCCCTGCTGGGCCATTCAGATGCAGAAAAAATGTTCAGGTATTTAATTTTAGATTGTCCAATTTTTGTATATCTATAAATGATCGAGAAAGAAACTGAGTTCTTGCCACAAAATCAATTTTTATTATCCCTTTCTTATCTCTCCAACCTTATGGTTGATATTTCAAAAGCTATTTGAACAGAATTCATAGTCTGAAATATGAAAGGTGTACGACACATTGGATTGCAATTTGCAAAGATATAGAGAATTAAAAACAGACTTCATTCCTAACTTACAGAATTATAATAACATTTGTTTTATTTGTTTAGACCATGGTGGGATTCTCTTGAGGATTTTGTAATCTATGGTTTAATCATGCTCGGACTTATTGTTAGGAAAATATAAATCAAATTTTATTTATTTATCTTTTCTTACGAAGAAACATTATTTAAAAAACACGAGATGTCATGAATTAAAACTCTTTTTAAAAGCGGAACAAGTTAATTAATTAATTTAACGCATTCAGCTCAAACTTTTTAAAAGAAA